ATATAGTGCAAGATGGCTTGCCTGATCATACACTATACAACGTTAGTTTGAATTATAAAGAAATAAAAACGTATTAATATACAATGTAAGATGGTTTGCCTGACGATATACTGTACAACATTAGTTTGAATTATTTTAAATGTTTGTTGAATGTGAAAGGGTACATTTAGTTCGATCTTGATGTTTTGGGTAGTCATTTTTGTTGTATGAACTATAGGTAGTTTTTGTTTTTTTTTGGCTCTTATTTTCTTGGGTAAAGTTCATCTTCTGAGGTTATTATCCATTTATAAGTACATACAAGGTAAGATATTTAATATCAGATTATTGGTATAATATATACAATTTTTACACAGGGTGTCTAAACATTTTCCAGCTTCAATAATGTTAGTTATGCAATAATATTTACAGAAAATTTATAATTATACAAACATTTACTTGAAGTACAAGAATGATATGGTGAACATTAGTTGCATTAGAACGTTCATAATAAAGGAAATATTTTTGTGATACCTAACTTATGATAATAATAATAAAAGAATATACAATAATGATATTCTAGTGATACAATAATACTTAATAAAATTTCAATGATCTATGATAGTTATGTTATCATGCTTAAATTTTTTTCCCTCAGATGCAAAAAACCTAAGATTGTTACTTATGTGCCTGAGTTGCATAATTTTTCAAGAACTTTCAACATAGTCAGGTTAAAATAAAAACATTTTAATTCAACCTCTAAAATACTGTCATTATTGAACTCTTTTTTTTTTTAATGATTTTGTTAGAGTTCCATATACTTACGACCCACCTGCTATGTATATTCTGTCAGTTAAATTATGAACATTAAATGAAAAAAAAAGGAATTATAATATTTCCTTCAACTATTTACAACTAAAATTTTTTCCTCTTTCATTTTGACTTTTTGTTAATGAAAAAAAACACATGATTTTGCTAATTCTGAATTATCAAAACCATGTCAGTTATGTAGGATACAGAATATGAATATATGTTAAATTTTTGTATTGATTAGAAGTTAAATGTGAGTAACAAAAGTTACACTTCCAAAACAATGAAAACCTAATAATGCAAAAGTGTTAAGTCATACCTGGTTCTCCTTCTGTCTCGACAAGAGCAACTGCTTTTGACAGAACATCCAATGGGGTTTCTGCAATTTCCATTCTGTCCATTTTATTCTTTGGTAGGTAGTTTATCTTAAGAAAAAATGTATTATTTCCCCTCAAACAACTGTATCCTTCTTAGTGTGCTACATGTTATGTATACTTATACCACTGGTACTTGTCTCTCAGTCAGTATTATACTAACATTGCAGCACAAAGAGAATTTTTCAGATGGTAGTTATTCAGAAACTCAAATCAAAATAAGAAATTTTCTGACTCATTTAACTTGTTTTACTTAATATTAATCTTACTTTAAAGCTTTAAAACAGGTTCATCTAAATTTAACTAGGGCATTTAACATCTTAAATAAAAAAATGGATAAATAACTGTGTAGTTTTATTTTAAAAGCATATTTGTAAATATGTCAACATTTTGCAATTATTAATATTCAAAAGCATTTTGTTACCACAGAGCTCACTTTGTAATGAAATGCAAAATAGCAGTGCTCTCTAACTCCCAGTCACAGAGGGAGAGGTATTTTTAAAGTTTCTCAGCTTCAAGTTTTGTGAGTGCACCTGTGTTGAAATTTTTTAAATGTATAGTCTTTGCCACAAACATAATAAAAGTAAGCCAATCACTGAGCACAGTGACAGCCAGAAACTGGTACTTGAAATTTCCAGATTCAAGTTATATTGTAACAAACCTAGTTATTACCAACTGTCAAAAATAAAACAGGTTTAAATTAAAATAATTTTGAAGATGTCTAGAATTCTACAATTTTCTACCTTAAAGTTAAAGACAAAATAGATTAAGAAATTAAAGTGAGTTAATCAAATTCCCATTTTTTTTTATCATACTATTTATCTCAACTGAATAAACCACAAAGTAAGTTATTCCACTAATGGTTAAAACTAGGAGTCTGGTGGTAGTTATGTCAAAATGTACTTGTTATTTGGGGGTACAGCACCATATGATCATTAACTGTGCAAAATATCATATGCTTATGAACCTTGTATGTGGCAAAAAATATCTAAAAACATTGTAAATGCTATGTGATAGGTTGAAAGTGCTAGCCATTAATCAATTGTTACTTGCTGTGTAAGGACAATATTACTATTAGTATTACAGTGAGAAAAGTAAAAATTAAGATAAAGATTTAGAAGTTGAAGCTAACTAAAGAATGTCTTTAACTAACAGGAATAAATTCACATAATAAAGAAAAAGTGGTCAGAAGATGAACTCCTTAAGAAAAAAATCCATTATGTACCACCGACATTGCTAAGGAAATAGCAAGCCTATTGTTCTAATTTGTCTATCTGTACGTTGTAACTTATTACTTCTAAGTTCTAGCACCTATGGCGATAGTTCATAAATAAAATAACCTAGCTATAACTTACTGTACAGAACTGATTAACACATACTGACACATGAACTCCTAAACACTTAAAACAGTTATTTCATAAAAACAACGACATAATGATACGACCTTATATTATGGTTATAATAGTTACTCTCAACTAGGAGTCGTCAACTTGTAAATTGTATTTGTACTTTTGTTGCACTTTAATTTCTAAATTCTATGTAATGCATGGTGGCATTAACTAATAACTAGTTATATTATAATGGTTCATTTATTTGTAAATATTAATTGGAAGGTTTTACTATCACTAACACTAGTAATAGTATTACTATTATGCTTTAGTTTATACTTGCACTATACTAAGTTATAAACTTTACTAAAATTTGTTAACACTCAACAAAGCTGACAACTATTTACCGAAACAAACGGACTTACTTTATGATATTAATTGAACAGTCTTTTCTCATATGCGTCTTCAACACTTTTTAGTTACGTTTCTTGTTCTGACTACTCTTACACAAACAACGAAAGCTCTTATCTAGTCAGCGAGTTCACATAACGTTGGTATGAACGAAAACACGCATGGTATGAGATGACATTTCTCTCACGTGATACAGCTCCTTAGGGCTGATTTGTCGTTTAAAAGATTGGTATTTCAGATGACCTGCCATCTACAAGAACAAAACTAAACTATTTTAAAAGCATTGTATATAATTTTGAAAAATAAAGCTATAACAATAACTGGCGTCTTTTACGGGTTCCTAATCAAATTTTTCTGACAGTGCTTAGATATAATATACTCATCCAATTACAATACGTTCGACAAAAAACTGTCAAATATACTTCAACCGTTTCGATTGTAAACATAGATAATTAAGTGCAGTTTAAGAATAAAATATTTTGTTAGTAGCTATCTACAGCTAGCTAATTAAAGTCTGAATATTAATTATTTGTGTCTTGTACTAACTTGAAAAGACTGCAATAGTCACGAGAAGTATGTATAACCACAAATCTAGAAGTAGAAAAGTATAATTTTCATTGAAAAACATAACACTGACTTCAACTTAAATTATTGAAATGCAAAGCTAAACAGCATATTTTACCAAGACTTAGATAAAACTTTGTCAGTAACTGATATTTCTACTGTATTTGTGATAAGAAAATTACGTGTTTATTATGCTGAAACTAAGTGATTCTTATTTAAATCAATATCATTATGGTGAAAGGATACATGCATATTCTATCGGTTTGTATGAGTTGTAAGTGTTTAAGATGCAAAAATCTTGTTCTAATAATGGACAAAAACTCACCTATATATTTTTGGAAAAGTTTCTAAGTAACAGCCACAACACATGCATATGTATATATTAAGCTTTAGTGACCAGCTTATTATGTAAGAAAATCTTTATAGCGAAATTTACACACATTGAATTTAACCAGGAGATATAACTGGCTTTACATAATTTATATGCACCATTTCTCAAACTTCATTGAACTTGAGACGCTAAAAATCTGGTTTTCCATACCTGTGGTGGGCAGAGTACAGATAGCTCATTGTTTAACAACAAACAAACCAAATCAATCATTGAACTAGGAATCTGAGCTCTCGTTTAATGTTTTACGAAGGTTTCTTAGAAAACAGTTTATCCAAAATATGTTTCTAAAGTTTCACCACTTGTAAATGATTACTTACTATTGCGTATCTGTTTGTTTGTTAATTTCCGGTAGAAATTCTTTCCGAGGAACTTCAGCGATACAAGTCCTTTCTTGATTAAACCAGTTAATTATTTCGTAAATTGCCCGAAACTCACCGTGACTACTGTTCGCTTAACCATCCCCCACTTTTCTCTGCCAAGCTTATATACTAACAAAGAGGCGTCTCTCGATCACACTCGAACTTCCCCGATAATTCTTAATTAAAACTAGTTTATTCTTTCTTGATACAACTTTTTAGTACACAGAATTTCCACAGTCACTTTAAACTTAACAACCTTTATAACACACGCTATAAATCACAGTGATTCACACACTTTACTTCGGTGCCTACTGTTCACTTGACTCAATTATCTATCTATCTCTTCAACCTATCTGCCTCTGTAATTGCACTGGTTTTACTTGCCAGGCTAATATACTAAAAGAAGAAGGAGCCTAGAACAAACTAGAGTTGCCAGGAAAATTCATGATCCTTCCAGAAACTCCAGCGCTCATGCTTCCAGCATTGCGTGACTTCCACTGTCGTAACACTGCCCCTTCCTTAGTATTGTTTGGGACGAACAATAGCCACTTACATTAAACCAACAGATAATTAATAATAACTTAATTAAATGTACAGAAGTTACAAACACAAAATTAAAATACAACAAAGTCTCTTGATTTTACAGGACGTTTCTTCTTTTGTACTGGTCTCCGTCTCGTTGGCTTCTGCTTCACGTGGGATTCATCTGCTCCATCAGGAAATGTCCCATTATCAGCAGCAGCCACATTAGTGGTAGTAGCTTTATTAGTAGTTTCACTATTTTCCCTCATAAAACCAGGTAGAGTTTCTTCTTCAACAGTGGCTTTTTCAGGTGACACGTCTTCAGCAGCGTCATTTGTTTTGTTGTTTATTTTGTTCCAACTGAAATGTCCTGGACCATGATAACACCAAAGCCTATTGGCATGCACCACCTTTGGCTTATCTCGCCGACTACATTTTATGCGGAAAGTCACGTGTGAGAGACGATCCACCATGTCTTATGGGCCTTCCCATGAAGAAGACAACTTAGGAGACTTCCCTTTGGTCTTCCTGGGATTATACAACCACACATTGTCTCCTGGTACAAAGCTGACTTCAGTAGATTTCTTATCATAACACAGTTTCATGGAATCAGCAGACATTTTAAAGTTGGAATGCACTTGATGATGAATATCATTCATTCTTTCAGATAACACTTTCACGAACTCTGGCACATTTTCAGGTAACTCTTCGTAAAGTGGGCGTTTTGTTATCAGGTCCACTGGCAAACGAAGTTCCCGACCAAACAGCAGGTTTGCTGGAGTGTATCCAGTGGCTTCATGCTCTGCTGTCCTATAGGCCATTCACAGTGGAGGGAGTAGAACATCTCAGTCATCTTGGCGACTATTACAAAACTTTGCCAATTCCTGTCCCAGTGTCCAGTTGTAATTTTCTAACATCCCATCAGACTGTGGTTGAAGTGGCGTTGTTTTGGTCTTTTGTATGCCAAAGAACTTGCAGCATTCATGGAACACAGCTGATTCAAAGTTACGGCCTTGATCCGAATGCAGTTCGTATGGTATAACAAATCTAAAGAAGAAATCATTAATAGCCATTGTATATAGTTGTAGCTTCCTGATTTGGTATTGCATATGCCTCAGGCCACTTGGTGAAATAATCCATCACCACACAAATGTACCTGTTTCCAGCACGAGTTTGGGGCAAAGAACCAGCAATGTCAACGGCTACTCTTTCCATTGGTGCGCCAACTTGATATAATTTCATTGGAGCACGTCCTTTATGCTTGGGTCCCCTTTTAGCACAACATGTACTGCAGGTCCTGCACCATTCTTCCACATATTGCCTCATACCTATCCAGTAAATTTTCTGTCGTAGGTGACTCAATGTCTTCTTAACTCCGAGATGTCCTCCTGTTAAACTATCATGTTACTGATGCAGCACAACTTCCCATAACTTTCTCGGTATAACC